AAATGACATTCCATTGTGGTTTTATTTTATTTTTTTAAAGATTTTATTTATTTGAGAGAGAGAGAGCATAAGCAGGGGGAGTGGCAAAGGGTGAGGGAGAGGCAGACTGTCCGCGGAGCAGGGAGCCTGATGTAGGGCTCAATCCCGGGACTCCTGGGATCATGACCTGAGCCAAAGGCAGACGCTTAACGGACTGAGCCACCCAGGTGCTCCTCCATTGTGGTTTTAAATTACGGTTCTCTGCAACTCATTTGAGTATCTTCTGTTTACTGGTCATACAGACATCATTCTATAACACAACTACTTTGTCTTTTGCTCACTTTTTAATGGTTCTTATGGTTTGCTTTATAAATCTGATACACTGCTCCAGTTGCCTGTGTTTTCTCCTGTTTGGTTACTTGTTCTTTCTTTTGGGCATCTTTTAATGAAAAGAAGTCCTTGATTTTAAGAGTGAAGTTGGGGCTCTTGGGTGGCCCAGTCCATTAAGCGACCGACTGTCTTGATTTCGGCTCAGGTCATGATCTCAGGGTTGTGGGATCAAGCCCCACATCAGGCTCTGTGCTGAGCGTGGAGTCTGCTTGAGATTCTTTCCCTCTCTCCGCTCCTCCCCCCACTCACGTTCTCTCTCTCTCAAGCAAACAAATAAATAAAATCTATTTTAAAAAATAATAGAGTGAAGTTAGTCCTTTATGATTAGCACTTTTTGTGTTGTGTTGGAAATATTCAAGTTTTGTTTTTTTCATGTGTCTTTATCTAGAATTGGTTTTTAACATGGGGAAAGTGGTTGTTTCTGTATGTTAATTGTATAGCTAACCACCTTGCCCTGTGATTATTTCTAGTAACTTTTTGGCAGATTCTTTCAGGTATACAGTTTTATTCTCTACAATCAAACTGCTTGCTTCATTTTCTTAATTGACTACTTTGGGGTACAACCACTCTGGCAGCATTAAAGGGACGTGGTAATACTGTTACCGATGTCCTGCTCTTGATTTTGGAGGAGATACTGTAGGCATCTCTCCAGGAAGGATGACATTTGTTGTATGATTATTGATAACAGTCTTCTGGGGGCTCAGGAACTTCCCTTGTATCCTTGGTTTTCCAGGAGCTTGTCATGAAAGATACTGAGTCTTATCAGATACTTCATGGGTATGATCAAATAAGTCTATAAAGCTATAGACTCATACATTTTTTTTTTAAAGATTTTATTTATTTATTTGACAGAGAGAGAGATAGTGAGAGAGGGAACACAAGCAGGGGGAGTGGGAGAGGGAGAAGCCAGCTTCCCGCTGAGCAGGGAGCCCGATGTGGGGCTCGATCCCAGGACCCTGGGATCATGACCTGAGCCGAAGGCAGATGCTTAACGACTGAGCCACCCAGGTGCCCCTCATAAATGTTAAATTATCTTTCTGATACTGTCATATTAATTTGTCATAATGTAGTGCCTTTTTTATACACTGCTGTATTCTGTTTTCAGATTTTTTGCTTAGGAGATTCTCATTTGTGATTATGAGTGAGATTTAGCCTAGTGGATCTACTATACCTTATCTGTTTGTCTGCATCTGATTTGTAAATCAGGGTTATACTGGCCTCATAGAATGAATTAGGGGGTGTTCTCTCTTCTTTTCTCTAGAAAGGTTTAAGTAAGATTGTAATCCTCAATTCCTTGGAAGTTTTGTAGAATTCCCCCAGTAAAAACACCTGGACCTGTGGTGGTTTGGTTTAAGTTTTAAATTATTTTTTTGTTATGGGACTACTCAGGACTTCTTTTTCTTCTTGAATCTGTTTTGTAAAATGCATTTTCTAATTATTTGTCCACTTAATTTTTCTATTTGGCAGTACTTTGTCATTTCCATTTTGACCTTTCCTTCTTAATAGTTATGACCTTTCTTCCAGTCTTTATATAATTAATTTGTGCCTTCTTTGTCTTTTCTTGATCTTTCTTTTTTTTTTAATATTTGATTTATTTATTTGACAGAGAGAGACACAGCGAGAGAGGGAACACAAGCAGGGGGAGTGGGGGAGGGAGAAGCAGGCTTCACGCGGAGCAGGGAGCCCGATGTGGGGCTCAATCCCAGCACCCTGGGATCATGACCTGAGTCAAAGGCAGACGCTTAACAACTGAGCCACCCAGGCGCCCTACTTTTCTTGATTTTTCACATCAATTTATCGACTTTATTATTTCAAAGAACCAAGTTTGGGGTATATTGAGTCTCTCTGTTGTATGTTTTAACTCTGTCGTATTTTTGCTTTTTATTTTTCTTTGATTTTTATCCTTGTTATGCTTTTCTCCGTACCTTCTATATTCTGTTATTCTTTTTCTGCTTCTTCTCAAGAATATAGAGCGTGTAAACATCAAGCTTTTTTTACTTTTCTGATGTAAGTTCAAGAAGGCTTTACGTTTCCCTTTCCCTCTTTGTGCTATTTTTACTGACTCCCAAAATTACATTTCTAAGCACAGAGAAATTTATATTTTAAACTTCTAACTTCTAATTTCATTGCATTATGGTGAGAAACCTTGGGCTCTATGTCACTGACTTTTTGAAATTTGTTAAAATTTGCTCTTTGACTTAATTTGTGACCAATATTTTTTAATGTGTAACGTGTGAGCTTGAAATTAAATACGTATATATTCTCTGATTGGTGGGCATAGAACCATCTTGCTGCATTTACATCCACTGTTGATCTTAATTGAGTAAAGTATATTCAAATCCCCACTGTGAGGCACATTTTTATTTCTGTCCTGCCATTCTGTCAGTTTTTGCATTGTATAGTTTGACACTCTTTTATTAGGTTCCTAAAAGTATGAAAAATTAAAATTTTCTGGTGAATTAAACCTTTTCTTCATTACATTGTCACCCTCCATTTCTAATAATGCTCTATTCTTGATGCCTTTATTAAGTAATGATACTATGAAAATGCCACCATTCCTTGGGTTTGCTTTTGCCTGGCTTATCTTTTATGCATTTGTAGTTCCCATTTTCGTGCTCTCTGTATGGATCATTTCTTTAGAGGTGTTTTATAGCTTTGTGCTTTTCTTTTTACCTGGTGTAATCTGTTTCCCTTGACTTTATTTCTAGAAAATTTTTTGATCTTTGGGTTTTTAAAAAAAAATCTCTGCACATCTCTAATATTCTCTTGTTGATTAGAGATCTTTATTATTCTCTCTTTTAATTATCAGATCGATGGCTGTGCTAGATTTGGGATCTGGCAGATCTCATCTTGGCAATCTTGAGTGCTGACACTGTCGATTGATGTTTCTGCTCAGTGTTAGTGGCTTCCTTTCTTGGTGTTTTGCTCTTTGTGAGCTCATTACTTGGACAGCTACAACTGGGATTGGAAAAACTGTCTGCAGAGGATTTTGTTTCTTTTAATAGCCAGGGGTTGCCACTGGCTTGAGATCCCGTTTGGTCACCCCCCCGGCCGGCTCTGTAGAATCCCAGGCTTCCTTTCCCTGCCCTGGACCTGGCTAGTCCAGGGCTGAGCTTCCTGATGCTGAGTTACTCAAAGCAAATATGTCTGGGTGTGACCCTGCCCCTCCAACTTTCCAAATACTCTCTCCAGGTACAGGATCCCAAATATAGACCCTGGCTCCGCTACTTCCACACTCTGGCCCCACTCCTGGCACTGTAGTCTTTTGGCATTTTTTGGAAGGTAGTAATCTTCTACCTTATGTGAGATTCGTGATATCCCAAACCGTCATGCCCCCTGGAGCTCCTGGTCAGTCAGAATTCTGAAAGCAAGGTTTGCTTCCATCTGCAAGAATTAGAGCAAGAGGGATTTTCCTATTCAATAACTTTAACATGATTAGTTTAAACTGTTTGTTTAAATATCTTTTAAGTATTCTCATTGAGGATAAATGCTATTAGTCTTGTTATTTACAAGAGGATAATATTCAAATTAAAGCTGTAGGGTATTTGAACGTTTTTATTTAAAACCACGGCAAACCCTCATTATGTGTAAAATATTTGTTTCTGTATAAAATTCTAAAGCCAAAAATATTTATCTGATTGTGTTGTTTTTGAAATCTTCATTAACTTCTTAGCTACATATAGTTAAGCATATAATTAAGCTTATATATAGTTAAGTTATATATGTATGTAGTTAAGACTCCCTTAGTACCACATTCAGGGCTCTTCCTCCTGAGGCCCTTACCAGCATTATGTCCCTCCTTCTGATATTTCCCATCTGTCCCCCTCCCCCTTTCCTAGTCATCACCAAGGACTCACATTTTCCCCACCCCCTTGAGTCTTTCTGTCTCTTCCCTTGAAATGTCCTTCTCTATACTTGTACTACGCACCCCCAGCCCCAGCCCTGTCTGCATGGCTGTAACCATTTATTCTTCCCCGACTGAAACAGTCGTGCCCTCTGTGCTGCTCACAGCGTCTCCTGCATGCACATCTGGGATGGACTTGTCCCTTTGTGTCTTCTCCAGCCAGAATGTGATGTTCTGGAGGTTCAGTGCATATCTAGCTCAGCATTATTTCTCCAGTACCCGACGCAAAATACTCCAAATACATTCTCATTAAGCATTGGTTAAATAGTAATAAATTATTTGGGGTTCTTTTTTTGCTTTTTTGTACTTAAAATTTTTTTGAGGTTTTTATTTTTATACATGCAGAACAGTAAAAACCCTCAATGTGCAGCTCCATGCATTTTCACATATTAAACACATTGATGTAAGCAGCCCCAAGATCAAGAAAAAGATCATTACCAGCACCTCAGGCCCCCCCCCCCGGAACCATTTTCTGTCTGCCCACCCCTTCCCTGGTTAACCACTGTCCTGATTTCTAACACCATTGATTACTTGCATCTGTTTTTGAACTTTGAAATTCATATAATCATAAAGTCTGTGTTTTATGCTAGACTTCTTATGTCAGCCTTACAGTTGGGAGACTCATCCATATAATTGTGCATACTTGTGTTTCAAGCATCAAAGGTGTATGGTAGCATTTACCTTTGTTCCATATTTGTGTTACTTGTTCTTATTCTTTTGCTCGTAGAAGGGGCTGAAGAGGAAAAAATGGAAACAGATACTGATGGTCAACAGCCTGAAAAGGTGAAGTCTGTCTGTTTGAATTCTCCTACCACAGGAAAGACACAGAGAGAGCATGCCTTTCAGAGCATAACGGTTTGGGTTTATTTTGATCTTTGATCCCTCTCAGGGGATTACAAATGATTCTTTCAGCCATTGGACTTTGCTGGTTTAAGGTGTAATTCTCACAAAGCATAACATATGACATTTTTCACTATTCATTCTGGGAAGATTTATCTATTCCCCGGCCTCCTCTTTTATATCCCTTTCAGGCACAGTTGGGAAAATGAATACACAATTGTGGTTTTTATGAATATTGAATTATAGGGCTTGGTCCTGTACTTGTGCCAGAAGAGAATTATAGAATATTAAGGGATTTTGTAGGAGAGTTAACTGCCAGCAGGAAAATAATCAGACAGGTCTTAATGAGAAGATATTTGAGGTCGGTTCTAAAGAGCAGGTAGCGCAGTAACGATTGAAATTGAAGTGGAGGACAGGGAATCAAAGATCCGACCAGCAGTGGAGGAGGGACACTGAAGCCTGTGTGCAGAAGGCACCATCACAGTGCCCCCTGTGTCTGTGACCCGCCCTCTGACTCAAAGAGGCCCGGAATGCCTGGTGAGTAAGGTAGAACAGGACTTTACAGCGTCTTCGAGATCAGGAGCACATGATTTAAAAATGGGCAGAGGACCTGAATAGACATTTTTCCAAAGAAGACATCTAGATGGCCAGCAGACACATGAAAAGATGCTCAGTATCACTCATCATCAGGGAAACACAAATCAAAACCACAACGAGATATCCCCTCACACCAATCAGAAAGGCCAATATCAAAAAGACAGGAAGTGTTGGCAACAATGTGGGGAAAACGAACCCTTGTGTACTATGGATGGGAATGTAAATTGGTTCAGGCACTCTGGAAAACTGTGGAACTTCCTCTGAAAGTTAAAAATAGAACATACCATATGATCCAGCAATTCCACTACTGGGTATTTATCCCAAGAAAATGAAAACACTAATTCAAAAAGATATGTGCACCCCTGTGTTCACTGCATTATTTATAATAGCCAAGACATGGAAGCAACACAAAGGTCCATTGATAGATGAATGGTTAAAGAAGAAGTGGTGTGTATCTCACACACACAGGAATATTACTCAGCTATAAAAAAGAATGAAATCTTGCCATTCACAACAAAACAGAAGTAGACCCATAAATACAGAGAGCAAACTGGTGATTGCCAGACGGGAAGGGGGTTAGAGAGATGGGCAGAGTAGGTGAAGGAGGATTAAGGTACAAATTTCCCATTATAAAATAAATAAGTCACAGGGTTGACAGCATAGGGAATATGGTCAATACTGTAATGTATGGTGACAGTAACTAGCTTTATCATAGCATTGTGTAATGTATAGAATTATCAAATTGTTATGTTGTACACCTGAACCTAATAAAACTTGTGTGTCAACTATACTTCAGTGAAAAGATAAGATTAGCACATGATGAGCATTCATTCACTATTTGAGTGAACATATACAAGCTGGGATTTAAGGTCTTGACTGCCATGTGTTGTTTTAAAATTGTAATTAGATGAGGATGAGGTAAAATCATCGTTCTTATACTGTTCTAAATATTATGCTTTGTACTTTACATTTATGCATTTATGAATTCATCTGGTTCCTAAACAGTCTCATCAAGTCAATGATAATCTCTTCATTTTATAGACAGTGTTACATGATTTGTCCGAGGTCACAGGGATTTCAAAATCCATAAATGAAACCAAATTCTAACCAGAGGAATTGAAGTTTTTGGTCCCCAGAGCATAATCACTGATGCCCTATTGTGACTCTTCCCAAAAACCATTAGCAAATGACTATATTAAAGGGCTTTGTCAGCTTTTTTATTTTGGCAGCATTCCATCTTGCTTCTCTGTTGATCATGTCCAGTTTAAATGCTCTTGGTCCTTTTGGACAGGTAATCGATCATTCATTTGTTCATTTATGAAGCCTTTCTCTGTTTAACCAGTAAGTAATATACATGAATTTGCATGACATCCTTTGGACATTGTGACCCTGGCTTTATAGCAGAGGGCACAGAGAGGGTAGGGACTGTGTGTTTTGGAGGCGTATTGACGTGAGCACTCAGGTGTTGAGGAAGTGAAAGATATTTCTTTGAATTTATTAATTTCTTTTTCAGCTCTTCTCTCCAAGGCCCTTCTGAACCTAGTTCATTTCCTGACAAAAATAGTAGAGGCTTTTGTTACTCTAAGGTAATGTCACTTGTAGAAGGACTGTTTTTGCTCACTCTTCTTTTCTTTTGTACCCCTTTCAGGCAGAAAACAAAGGGGAAAATGAAACAGACGAAGGGGACAAAGCACAAGACGGAGAAAATGAAAAAAATAGTGAGAAGGAGCAGGACAGTGAAGTTAGTGAGGATACCAAATCAGGTAATTCAAGGAAACTCTTTAGACTTCATTTATTTTTAAAAGATTTTATTTATTTGAGAGAGAGCGAAAGAGCTGGAGGAGGGGCAGAGAAAGAAGGAGAGAATCTCAAGCAGACTCCCCATTGAGCCTGGAGCCTGACGTGGGACTTGATCTCATGACCCCCAGATCATGACGTGAGCCAAAATTAAGAGTTGGATGCTTAACCGACAGCCACCCAGGTGTCCCCTCTTTAGACTTTATTATGCAAAACTAAAAAGCACTGGAGAAGTGGGGGCAGTTTAATTATACAGAAATATTACCTTACTCGTTTTGGGTTTGTTTCTTAATGTAACAGTAAATGTACGTTAGAGTTTGAGTTTTATTTTGCTCCGAGGCACCAGTGCTAATGCTAGGGGCTACCTTGTGTCTGTAGCATGTAGACAGATAAGTTGTTCCGTGTGACTGAAGTCACCACGCAGACCTGCCATTTTGGTCTCTGAGTCAGTGGCTTGCGGAAGTGCTTAGCTCTCAGCTTCTGATTTCCTGCAGACCCCAGGGTTTCCAGGAGCATTGCATTGACTGATCTTGTTGGTCTTCAGGCTTAGTTCCCTTTGTATCTTCGGGAACTACACAGAGAGCTTGGAGAAATGAAGGGGAGACAAAGTGTACTATTCAGAAAATCCATCTCAGATAGAGGCGCACTTACATGCATGGAATGATTCTGCACAAATCTTAAGGCGGCGGCACTGAGATCTCTTTGTAACCTCAGTCCTAGTTTGTCATGTGGCGGAGGTGAGAAGTACGGTGGCTTATTGAGGCTGGGCACACTGGTAATAAAGCTTTCTGATTTCTTTCAGAAGAAAAGGAAACTGAAGAGAACAAGGAACTCACTGATACTTGTAAAGAAAGAGAAAGCGATCTCGGGAAGAAGAAAGTAGAACACGAAATTTCCGAAGGAAATGTGGCCACGGCTGCCGCAGCTGCTCTCGCCTCAGCTGCAACCAAAGCCAAGGTTTGCCGCTCACAGCCCTTGCCAGGCTCCCTTCAGCTGTGAATGGTCGCCTTGTTTTCCGTTACTGGGAACGGTAGTACCCAACAGGAGATGACTGCTTGACCGGCATTTCTAGGTTAAGAATTCGCAGGCAGGAGGAGGGGCGGGGGTGCGAGTCGCAGATCTGGTGTTGGGGGGGGGCTGCCTTCCAGGCATTCCTTGTTCCGCTCTGCACTGGGCTCTTGGCGTGTGGACACTGCAGGGAGGCGGGGGGAGGGGGACAGAACTTAAAGTCCCTCGTGTTGGCCTGCATAACTTGTCTCGGACTATTCCAGTTTCTGCTCGATTGAAATGTTTGTGATCTTTAAGACAAAAATCTGTTTCCTTGTATAAATACTTCACCCTTCTCTTACAGACTGAAAGGAGAGGGGGGACCTAAAATAACTTTTTCTTCTTGAATTTGCCAGCTTTTCTGGGGGTGGTTTTCTCTATTTATAACCTAGTATTGGCTTCATGGCATATTTAAGAAGAAAGGAGAATGTTATTTTCCCCACTTTGTGTTAATTTAGCATTTTAAAGCCTTCCAGGCATGAGTATGTGAAGTTTTAAAAAACACCTTTTCACCTCTTCTCCATCCTACCCTCCGAAGTAGTTTCCTTCCATTGTGGATTCCCATGTTCTGAGCAGTATTTACTGGAACATACCTAATCGTTTTATCTTGAGCTGTTCTTAATCTATTGGTCAAGATATTCTTTCATGGTCTTTAATACTCACAGACTGTACAGCTGCTGCAGACTACTTCTCCAAGTGTTTAATCTGTGATGCATGATTTATAACAGACCTGCAGATGACCCAGTTCAAACCATGAGACCTCCGTTCTGAGTGCCCACCATCGGGCATAGGTGCCGCCCGTGAGGAGGAGGGATGTTGCCAGTCCCTCCAGGCGGCTCCCCCAGCTGCTGGTTCCTGTTACAGTAGCTGGAGGTCCTGCATGTTCAGACTTCCCAGTCTCTTCCCAAGATGCCTCCTGATCTTCATGGTGATTTAGCTGCAGTATTAGGTAGTCTCTCTCCTCTACCTTCCCTACCTCTGGGGACTCTTGACAGAGTGAGTACTTATGTGGACACCAGTTTGACGGTGGTTTCAAGTCCATTTGGTTTTGCTCTTTCATCAGAAGTAGTTTTTGGAGCCTCTCTTTCTTCTGCCAGGTTGGACTCTGGCACCTCATTGTCTCTGAGCTGAGTTCTCGTTGTTCAGACTGTCACCAGGGACCTTAAGGGCCGCCTTGGGCCTGTTTCACAAATGAACTGGAGGCCAGGAGGGCTTCTGTCCTTTGTGACTTTTATCAGCAGACAGCACACCATCCCCTCAGTCTTCAACCCATGGCCTGGGGTCCTCTCTTTCTTTCACTTTCCACGGCTGCTAAGCCACCAAATCCTTCCTGGTTGTGTTAGTGCCCCTGGTGATGCCCAGCCCCTTCACTACTCCCTTGGGCTGGCTTCCCATCATCTGTTGCCTGTCTCTTTCAGCCCATTCTGTGTTTTCAGCCAGAGGAATCTTTTTCATTTTTTTTTTTTTTATTGAAGTATAACTTATATTTGAATAAGTCTATTGAATATATGTCTACAGCTAGTGAATTTTAAACAGACTGAGCCCACCTATGGGCTCACAGACAACACCCACATCAAGCAACATAACATTCCCAGCCTTCCAGAAGCTTCCTCATATTCCCTTCCAGTTACTGTGCCCCTCCCCCCAAGAATGGTTGCTAGCCTCTTAATGCTGTGGATTACTTTCTGCTTTTTTGACTTCATATAAATGGAATCATACAGTATGCAGAAAAATCTTTAAAAATACAAACAGGAACATGATACTTTCTTAAATAAGCTCCCTAACTCAGGCGAAAATTTCAAACTCTTTAGTGTGCAATTCACGAGTTTTCCTGCTCAGGACCCTTCTCGGTTCTCAGGCGTCATTTCTTGCCTGTCCGACCTGAACTGTCTCTTGCAGTTCTCCCAGACAGAACCCACTGTGACGTCTCCGGCTGGGCTGTTCTGGACCCACTTCCCTCTCACAGAGATGTTTCTCTCCCTTGCCCTCCCATTGTTTCTTCTCCCTCTGCCGCCGTGCCTGCTTCATTGTAGTTTGCCAGAGCAGGAACTAAAATGGTAGACTCCGTAAAACATCTTACAGATGCTTCATGATGTTTTCATGGCGGATGAAAACATGGTGGCCTCATAGCTGTTAAGATGTGCAGCTTTGGACACAAAAGTTTGTGTATTGTGCACTCCTGACCACCTTGCAACAGCTGTTTGATTCCTTTACTGTAGAAAAACTGCTTTTATGGATCAGTTGCCCTGGTCCTTCCATACTCCGTACAAGGTTTAGAAGAGTCCAAAGAACATTTTCCTTCCAGGTCACTGAATTTTTACTCTTTCATGCTCACTCAGTCTTATTTCTGATAACTGGGAACTTAGATCTTTATTCTCATGACAGCTGCCTTTTCCACACATCTGTGAGTGATACACATGTGTGTGATGCATGACTTGGCACGCGTGAACTGTTGAGTGCCACTTACAGCTGGGTGTCATGCGTTTCACAGCACACATAATCATTTGTGTGCTACATGGGAATTAAGGGTAAGGAATTCACTGAAATTACTGTAATTAGTACAGCTTATCTAGCCAATCCAAGTTTTCTCTTATTCTCTTTTTGTTCTTCTGTATCTATAAACAGCTTTGTTATTAAGAGTTTTCCTTGATACATTTTAATTGTTTGTCACACTGACATGGAGTGGTAATGATAGGTTTTGAATCTAGCTCCACAACCCGCAGGGAGGGTGGGCATGCTTTCTGGCTTTTCCCCCTCCTTGCCATATGAGGGACTCTTCAGTAGCACATCCATTTCTTCGTTGCACCTACTGACAAGCTGTGAATTGACCCACCTGAAGAGTGGTGTGTGGGTGTGAGAAGGAACACCATTGGTTGGGTGCTCTATATCCCTTCCATCTGGGTGCTTAGGTTTAGCTGGAAGGAAGAGTCCAGAACTATTGCTGGAATAAAGCAGAACCCCCCCCAAACTAAAGTATATATTTTTTCAGCAGCAGGATGATTCAGTTCCTCCAAGATAGCAGAGATTACATTTTCTTAAGACCACAGACATTTCTTTCAGATTGATTCTGTCACCATCCCATGTCCATGTACCTTGAAATGGCTAAAGTAGTTTTGTCTTCATGGTTACTGGGTGTTAGTTCTCGAATAACAGGAAGATTCTTTCTTGCCCCTCAATGATACCTCTTACTTGCTCCCTTTTGCCTGAAATTCTTTCTTGAGATAGGAAATTTTTCACTGTACGTTGTAGTCCTAAGGCTTTACCAGATTAAGTATTGACAGAAATGGATTGACGCTATATGCATTGATCATTGAAACCATATCTTTTTACTTGATACTGCTGAGAGAAGACAGGAGGAGAAATTGACCTATTTGACCATTTTGCCCACAGTTAGCTGTATTCACTTTCATCCTTAAATGACTGAACAGAATCTACCCTTGTTCTACTAGTTGAAATCCATGCTTTGTTATGTAGAGTTCACCTTAACTCTATTACAACCAAGTTACCTCTTTGTTATCATTAATCTTTTTGTGGTTATTCTTCATCTAGCATGCATCTGTGGCATACTCCCTGACTCCATCATTCTTAAGTTCCATAAAGCCAGCATGTGAATACACAAGCTCTCCCTACAGCCCTTCTTGGGAAGGTCCTGGTCATCACTGCAGCCAGACCTTCAGGATTCCACAACCTGAGCATCAGCAGTGCTCTTGCCCCAGTTCCCCGTGGCTGTATAACCACCACAAAACCTGGCAGCTTAAGAACATCATCACTTTATTTTATTTCACCATTTTTGTGAGTGAGAAGCTCAGGCCGACTTAGCTGGAAAAGTTCTACTCTGTGTGGCATTGGCTGGGCTGTGAGGGGGAACCTGGGTGGCTGTACCACGGGGGACTGGCTAGCATCACCGTCCCCACACAGCTCATCTACAGAGTCATCTTGGGCTTCTTCATATTAGGATGGTATCATAGTAGTTGGACTTTTTACGTGGAAGCTTATAACTTTATGAGTAGAGTGTCCTGAACAATGAGAATGGGAACCTGCCAGTGTCTTATGGCTTGGGCCCCCAACCTGGCACTGTATGACCTCAACCCAGCTCTCCCATTCAAAAGTTCTATCCAGATTCAAGGTGCTGGGATCATCGACCACACCTCTAGATGGAAGGCATGCCACCCTAACCCCACAGTCTGCCCTCTGGTCACAAATTACCTACATTTCCCCCCATTGAAAAGTAAAGATTCCATTGTTTCATGTTTATGATGTCAGGCTAAGGCTGGGGGTCTGAGGTCTTCTCTAAATCAAATCCAGGTATAGATGAAGCTCCCTTAGGAATGGTCTTTCAGGTACAGCTCCTTGCATCTTGGTCTTCTCAGTTGGAAGAATTTGAGAACTGACATAACAGTGGTAGGATGTGTGGAGAAAAACTGCACTCATATTCAAGAAGGGTGAAAATGGGAGGCACCAAGAGAGCACTTGTGGTTCATAGCAACTTTGAAATCTAGTCAGGTGCGCATTTCCAGTGTCTTTCTTCACCAGGGGCCGGTCCTGCCCCCTATGACTTATTCTCTGCAGCTTTTGACTTGGCCTTCTGGGCTTTGGATTCCACCTTCTGAGTCATTTTCCTTTTCCATTAAAAAAGCAGCCCTGTTTGGTGCTAAGGGGCTTTCTTTACCTGCAGTAAGAGTCCCAGAAGGAAAGAAGAGAGTGAAGGAGGTGGGGGGGAGGGGAAGAAATCATGGCTGATTGAAAACTCCAAACTTGAATGAAAACATTAGTTTATGGTAATAGAGAATATAGGAGACATGTTCTAAAGATACTTAGAGATCCTCCCATCTCTAGTAGAGAGGGTCTAAGAGGCAGGCATACCCTTATAATTCTTAGAAATCCTACCATGCACTTGGTTCAGAAGCTCT